ACATCTTTGTAAAAAGAAACAATACGAGTTACACACACACACACACGCATATATATATACATACATATATATATATATATATATATATATATATATATATATATATATATATATATATATATATATATATATATATATATATATATATATATATATATATATATATATATATATATATATATATATGTATGTATATATATATGTATATATATATATATATATATATATATATATATATATATATATATATATATATATATATATATATATATATATATATATATATGTATGTATATATAGGTGTGTATATATATACACATATACGTACACACACACACACACGCACACACACACACACACACACACATATTCCGAGTGTGATTCGATTTAAATGAGGAAATTACTTGAAACAAGAACTTAGACACATAACTTGTCAATTTTGATTTGAGTCAATGATTAGAATCAAGGAAATCTTTGATTTGAATCATACTGACATAACTGAAATCCTGATTTTGAAATGCATTTTTTATTTGAGTAAACCTTTAGCTTTATTCGAATCAAACTTACTTCTAATTCGAGTCAGATACACTTATGATTTGAATCACAATGGTTGTGGAAAATCCTTTTCATCATCTTTAATTTTTTTCCGAATCATACAGAACCTTAATTCAAATAACACTTCTAAAAATTGATTTTAGAAAAAAAGTTGAAGTGTAAGACTGAATCTAAAGCTAATATGATATAAACCATTTATTCATGTGTTTCTTGACCTAAATAATCGACTAAATTGACTTAAACCACTTGCAACGAATTTTATCCCAGGGTTCGATTTAATGCATGAAAAACAAAATTTAATGCATTACACTAAATTAAATGATATGCACAAAATCTAACATAGAGGATATTCAATAACAAAAAGTTATAAACTATAATTTAGAAAATGAGACAAGCCGCAAAATTGAAACCCTAACGGGCGGAGAAACTTCACCCTACATAAAAAAGGAATCTTGAAAGGGAAGCCAGGCTTCCCTACAAACAAATGGACTTCCTTAAATATGGAGGGACTCCTCATGTCAATGATGGCCTGTCATTTATTAGGATTTTCCTCTATTTCTCTCCTGGTTAACAAGAAACCCGTAAACTTACCCTTCTAAATCCCAAAGAAGCATTTAAAGGGGTTTAATCACATGTTATAATCCTTGATTGACTTCAAAATGTTCTTATGATTTCCACAATGATTACCTTCCTCAAACTTTTTTATGACCATGTCGTCTATGTAGACCTTCAGGTTGCGTCCAATCTGATTAGAAAAAATGGCATCCATTAGCCTTTGATAAGTAGTGTCTGCATTATTTAATTTGAAAGACACAACCTTATAATAATAGTTGTAGTTATTAGATATGAATGCGGTTTTGGACGCATCCAGGGTTATGTTTTGATCTAGTTATAGTTGGAGTAGGTGTCCAAGAAGCTCAAAGTTTTGTACTCCGATAACCCATCATTCAACCTAAAAAGGTTTGGCAACAGTTAGGGATCCTTATGGCATGACATGTTCAAATAAGTGAAATTCACACATATTCTTCATTTATGAGATGTTTTTCAAACAGTTATTATGTTTTCCAGTCAAGCTCGGTATTTTATTTCTATTATGAAACCAACTTCTTTTAGTTTGTGAACTTCTTCATTAATGGTTACTCGCTTCTCCTCGCTTACTTTGAATTTTCTTTGTAGTACAGGCTTCATTGTGAAGTTGATGAAATGTAATACAACTCTGGTGTCAATCCATGACATATAAAAAAGGGTCTATGAGAATAAATCGATATTTTTCTAGAGTAGAGCGACAAACCCTTCCTCTTCAGGTTCTATCATTGAGTTGTCCAGTTGATGGTATGAAGTTTCAGCAGCCCAATTTGGACCTCCCTCTGGTCTTCTATAGTCATAAGCCTATCCCTTTAACGTTCTTCTCAAGGATCTTAATCCACTAAGTTCACCCCCCGAATGTTTGGCTATGGTGTGATACATACTTCCATTGCCACACTTTTGATCCTTAAGCTGTCTTCGTAGCATGTATGTGTAGTATATTGATCTCCCTGGATCAAACCAATATGCCTATTATTTAGTGGATACTTCGTACTTAAGTAGAGCGTTAGGAGTTTGAAATTAAGTCACTTGATGATTATGTTGTAGGAGGGTGGAGAGTCTACGATGATATACCTAACTTTTATTATTTTGGAATTCTCCTTCAATTCAAACACCCATTTAAAAGTAATATAACCCTTCACATGGACCTGTTTGCCAAAAAAACCCCGACAAAGGAACCATTGAATGACTAAAGGTTTCCTGGATATATTTTAGTATCTCAAAAGAATCCCAGTACATCATGTCAACCTAGCTTCCCGGATGTATTAGCACTCGTTTGATTTCCCACTCGGAAATTTGTATCTTTATCACAATAAGGTCATTTTCATGAGGGAGGACCCCGAAAACATCTTTATAGGAGAAGATAATCTTGAGGTCTGAATCATCTTTAAGGGTATGACTTTGGCTTGGTAGGGATGTCTCCACAACCATGACCTAGAAGGCATATCTTTTACCGGATGAGCTGGATTCTTTGCCCCCAATGAACCCTTTCACGATGGTATTAAACATATGACATACTGGTATGTCCTCTTCCCTTATTTACGCCTCTTTGTCTTTTATAGACACGGGGCTTATGGTTTGATCTAGCCTCTGAGATCTAGACTCTCCCTTTACTTGTTGAGAGCTTCCTCTAACATACTTTTTAAATGGCTTTCTTGAATAAGGCATGCAATCTCTGTTCAACTTGTGGTAGTAATTAGTGTGATGGCCTTTAACCTTGCGGTATTTGCAAAACCTATAGGATTCGGGCCCCATGAATTATGAATTTGGCGTTGGTGGAGGCAAGTAATTATGAATATGGAGAAACTCATGATACATATGCTCTCAGTGAGTGTTGAGGGGCGTGAAGTTTTCCATCAGTCTCTCACTATATTTGAAAGTTTCCATATCCCTAATGGGCAAAGTGTAATAGCTCTGACACTTTTGTTATGACGGATTGAACCCTCTGCCAACACGTTCTTTGACATTCATGAGTTTCTTTTCAGCATTGCTCTCTTCCCTTTGATATAATACTCATCTCGCAACATAGTTTCAACCAAGAAACTAAGGGCTTTTGGGTGAGAAACTCATTGAAGTGTTCGAACTTTAAACCATTTTGGAATGATCCAATCGAAACTTCTTAGTTTGGATGTATTACCTTTATAGTTATTTCATTGATCGAATGAGGTACTCCCTCAAGGACTCAGAATGTCCCTGATGGACATTAAATAGGCTGGTTGTTGAAATTTTTTTGTGTTTACTCGCCAAAAATTGATTGACCAATTTCCTCGAGAAGTCTTGATAATCGGTCACTAAAAAACAGGGGAGTTCATGAACAACCTCATAGCCGTCTCCTTATACGTATTGGGCAAGAGTTTGAATTTTATAGAGTCACTTTGAGTATTGATGGCATCGATGTGTTCCCGGGAGTCCCTTTTCCCATCAAATTTCACAAGCGATGGAAGTTTGAAATTTTCTAGTACGAGAGGCTCTAGGTCTCATCAGAGAGAGGCTGGGGATCCATGACCTCCTTGTATTCAAATGAGTTGTCATTACGACGTCGTTCTTGAAGGGTCACGACGTGGTCTTGCAAGGCTTGGTTGAAGTGATATAATTCTTCCATAGCTGCTTACATCCCTACTAAGACCTCGTTGTCACTAGTTTAACTGTTGTGGTTTCTTGTCGTGCCACCATAGTGATTGAGATGACCAAGGAGATTGAATATTAAGCGATGGTGTGACCTATGTCAGTTTTTCCTAGACCTCAAAGTGGACGTCAATTGTACCTAGAAAATACAATAAGGTATACCCTGCTCATGTGATGAATGCAAGATGGCTTTAAAGTATGTTGAATATCTGAATAGTGAATAAATCCTATCAACCATGAGGATTGAGATATTTATAGCCCCGATCCATGGGTCAAGTTATGGGTGAAGAACCAATCTCAACTCAATTGCTTGGCTATGACATGTGAATAAGAAGACTCGTTCTTTCCAAAGAATAGGAAGAACATTTTCTTCCTTGGTGAAGTGAGAATAATCTCTCCTTCAGGAATATGTAGTCAGACACGTATTAACACGATTAACATTTAATGAATATAGGCTTAAATCAGGCGATCAATATCCTAAACTTGATGATCAAATCGAACGACCCATCATTACCAATGTTAAAATTTTTAGTCAAATATTTAATGTTAACACTCTTAAGCCCCCTATTAAATTGTAGTTTATATGCCTAATGAAAGTCCTACCACATGTAGGTTTTTTTTATTGACATGTTTTTTTGTTCTTCTTAAATTTATAATCACATGCTTTAATTAATTATTATGGAACATTGAAACATTGAACATTAGAAATGAATTTTAAGATGAAAAGTAAAATAGGACTAAATTAAAAAAAAATTATATATGTTTATAATTGAAAAATCACGTATTTTATAGAGATTCAAAATATAAAAATTTTCACTATAAAATATCATATTTTAGAGGTAAAACTTTACTATGTGAGTAACAAATATTAAGGGAAAATTAATTTCATAAAATATTTATTCTAAATCAAAATAGACATAAATCGATCCTTTCAAACACAAACACCGCAGGTAAAACCCTCTTCCAGTTTCTGTTATCCCTTATCACTGTTCGAGGGAGAGCCAAAAGATTCGTACTTCAATTCAACAAACCCTCATCACTTTCCCCTCACTGTAAGTCCATCTTCATTTCTCTCACTCAAATTCGTTATTCATTTTTCCACAATTTCAAAAGGGTTTAATGATTTTGGGTTTCTTCTTTTGAGTATTTACTTTACTTGTTTGTTCAAAGTTTGACTTTTTATGTTACCCTTTTGTTTATTATGCAGATTCAATGGTACTCAATTCCTGAAAAATATGAAGGTTATGAACTTTTCTTGTGGCATAACAAAACCCAATTTTCAGTTTTCTCAAACAGAAATGCCAATTTTAACATTTGGTCATTCTAAGTTGACTGCTACCCTAGCTTTTCAATTGCCATGTATTTGTGTTAGGAAGATGAGGTTGATTACAAAGCTTCAGTGTTCTGTTGCTGATATGACGTATAGTTCCAGTACCGGTGGTTCGCGGGGGCCTAATCGGGACTCTGGCGAAATTCAAAGGAGACGGGGAGGTCCGTATGTTGGTTACATTCGTCCTAGTTTATATGAAATGAAGAAAGATAAGGCGACGTTGCGTGATAATGTTTATGAGTTCTTGCGAGGAATTGGCATTGTTCCCGATGAGCTTGATGGTCTTGAACTTCCTGTTACGGTTGATGTTATGAAGGAGCGTGTGGATTTTCTTCATAACTTGGGACTTACGATTGAAGACATTAACAACTATCCTCTTGTTCTTGGTTGCAGCGTTAAGAAGAACATGGTGCCTGTGCTTGATTACCTCGGTAAATTGGGAGTTAGGAAATCCACGTTAACGAAGTTTTTGCAGAGATATCCGCAAGTGCTTCATGCTAGTGTGGTTGTGGATCTTGTGCCGGTGGTTAATTATCTTCAAGGGATGGATATCAAACCCGCTGATATTCCTCGTGTTCTCGAGAGGTATCCAGAGGTGCTTGGGTTCAAACTTGAGGGAACTATGAGCACATCAGTTGCTTATTTGATCGGAATTGGTGTTGGAAGAAGAGAACTCGGAGGCATCTTAACTAGATACCCGGAGATTTTGGGAATGAGGGTTGGTAGAGTTATCAAGCCTTTTGTGGAGTATCTAGAAAGCTTGGGTATTCCAAGGCTAGCCATTGCTAGACTGATAGAGACACAACCTTATATTCTTGGATTCGATCTCGACGAGAAGGTGAAGCCAAACGTCAAATCCCTTGAAGAGTTTAATGTTCGGCGAACATCAATTCCCTCGATAATCGCTCAATATCCTGTCATCATTGGAGCCGACCTAGAGCCAAAGCTTGCCAATAAGAAAAGCGTTCTCAATTCTGTACTTGATTTGGATCCCGAGGATTTCGGCTTAATCATCGAGAAAATGCCGCAGGTAGTAAGCCTCAGTAATACACCTATGCTAAAGCATGTTGATTTTCTTAAGGAATGCGGATTTTCTGCGATGCAAATGAAGAAGATGATTGTCGGGTGCCCTCAACTACTTGCTTTAAACATTGATATCATGAAACTAGGCTTTGATTACTCCCAAAGCGTGATGGAACGGCCTTTGGAAGACTTGGTTGAATTCCCAGCATTTTTCACTTATGGTTTGGAGTCAACTATAAAACCTAGGCATAACATGGTCGCAAAGAAAGGATTGAAGTGTTCGCTGGCATGGATGCTTAATTGTTCTGATGAGAAGTTTGAGCAACGGATGGATTATGACACTATTGACATGGATGAGATGGAAATGAAACCATCGTTTGACATGAATTCTTTGACGCAACCAAGGAATGATGAATCGGAATCTGATTATGAATACAGTGACTCTGATGATGATGAGTAAAATAATTACTACACTTTAGTAACTAGTCTGCCTAGGAGAATTTTGATCTTCTTTTGGACGATCTTTACAGACTGATAATTTCAATGCTGTAATGTACCATTGAAAAGGTATGTATATGATTCGCAAGTACACGTGACCGTGACGCATTTACAAGCTTTCGCATCCTAATTTTTTAGTTGTTTGTTTATGTGATATGGTGTTGTATTAGTATTCTTTTGTTTTAAGATTTTACCTCTTGCATGTTATTCACTTTTAGAAAAGTAGAGCTACATATCGCTCGAAATTAAGTATGACAATGAATCAAGTCATGTCGAAAATCTGTAACAAGCATCAATTAGTTCCTCGTATAAATGATATCAGCGATACAAGTTATGTATGAGAATTTGAGAATACTATATATCATATAGCTTTGAATTGCGCCTTTATCGAGTACGCTGGTCATTTATTTCTTCATGAAAGTGAGACCAATGATGGTGCAGCAATCATCATTGTATGTTTCGTTTCCTGTTTCCATCGTTTCGGTTATTCTTCTATGTTATTAATGTACAGCAAGAAAATCTTGAGCACTAAAACTTAATCTAGTAGTGTGTTTTTGAGCCTGTCAAGAAATCTTGTGAGAGCATGAAATTGTTATAGGTGTGAAGACTACAGTTAGTCTTGCATGATCAGAAAGGGAATAGTCTTCTGGCCAACTTCCTTTCCCCATCTCTTGAGGGAACAACACCGCATTTTTAACACTAAAACCAATTGTTTCTTCCTCTTTGGTATCATTTGGTTCTTCGTCTTGCTTCTCGTTCTTGTTGTCATCTCTTTGATAATCCGACCCGGTGGCATTCCATATTTGATACTGCAACATGCAATACTACATGTTAGATGAAAAACCATCTCGTATATAGTGCTGACACGGACACAAACACAATGACACTGATAATAGTTTGGGAAAATTATCGTTATATCGTTTTACCAGAAATTGTTTATAATCAATTACACCATTTCCATCTATATCTGCTTGAAACCACAAGTTCTTTGTCTCTTCATCACTCAAACCATAACAATGACCAATCAAATTAAGCTGCACATTTTGTAAAAGGCTTTCACCATGAGATTTTCTCAAACAAGTTTTCACATTATTTGAAACATTCAAGTACACACTTACCTGTTGAAGTGCTTTACTAAAACTAGAATATGTAATACAATCTTCATTTTCATCCTTTAGAAAATCAAATGAAGCACTCTCTGTTATTGAAGTTCTTTGCAATAGATACTGAAAAATGAAAACAGAGAATTAAATTACAAAACATGTTACAAGTTATAGTAATGATTGTTAAAGGTTACCTTGAACATGCCGAAAACTGCTTCACTCCAGCTCGATTTTAGTAGCTTTCGATATTTGTCAGGATTCAGAAGCCATATGAAATCAACAGCGCATGTATTTCCCAGATGGTTGCGGTGACTAATCCAGTGCATTGAACATTGTAAGACATGTGATCTACGAGGACAATTCGAGTTAGAAAAGGGTTACCTTGTGAGCATCTGCATCCGTGTAGTGATGTGCAGTATCATAGGATGATACAAACCCTTGAGACCTTAGGAACATGTAAACATGTCCGCGTTTGCTTCCGTTCCAATCACTGCAAAACAAAAAAACAAAAAAATTGTGATAATGATGTGTGTCAGCATAGACACTGACAAATACACCAATATGTATTAGATACTAAACACAGAGACATCTTTAATTTGAAATGTCGGTGTTTTTATAGCATATAACTATTTTAAGTTTCCTTTAAATGAAACATTACCCGCATAATATAATCGGTAAAGGTTTAAGTTGATACTCGTTCTGATAAGATTCCACGTATTGAAGTATCTTGTAAACCTATAGAAAAACATTGTTTAGCTACAATTGTATGCCACAAAAATGCAACTTAGATACTAAAAAACAAGTGCTTAAATACCTGGTGAAGCCGCACAAGGCATAGACTTGAATCATGAGGAAATAGTAGGTGAGTATTGACAATTAGAATTTCTTGTCTAACACCATTGTTTTGACATTGCGAAATTGGAAAAGCTAACTCAACATGTAACAGTTGAGCCACTCGATCACCACAATCATTGAAATGCAACTCCTTATAATTTATAACTTTGAAATATTCCTTTTTCACTGCTATCAGAAGTCCTGAAAAGTGAAATCTCAAAAATTAGCACTTGTGCAAAAAAATTCAACTAGTGTCGCTCTCATGAAATCATCATATGGAAAATTTAACTAAGACAGTTTTTATTGACTAAACTAGAGAACACATTTTCTGTTCGGGCCGTCTAGAAGGTCTAGTGAACCCAGAGGCGAACGTTGAGGATGCATACGCGTGGAGCAGGTGAGCCCGTTTGCTATCCCTACTCTCACTGACTTGGACCTCAAAATGTTAACATTACAGGTACACGCCACCGTATCAGAAGTCCTGAGCCGTGTTTCTTGGATCAACTCCGCCATTTCACCAACAAATTCTAATTCTATCACGCCATAAGTTGTTTTAAGTTTATTTTCATAATCTTTTCATGACAGTTTATACGAAAAACACTTAAGCTAAAAGCATACCATCACCGCGGTTGTTAGTCCTTCCGAGCTTAAAATGAATATAACCAGCATCACCAAGTCTCTTCTCATACAGATTAACAAGCTCTTCATTTCCAACCCAAAATTCCTGCACAATTCCAACACATCATTAACAGATTTCGTAACAACAAAAACCAAAAGTTTTCATACAACGTATACGTAAAAATCAACACAAAGATCGAACTCTGAACCACCAACATAAAACAAACAAAAAATGCAAACCTGAAGACAAATAATGGAAGATCTCTCAAACAACAACCAATCCAATATCCTGTTATTCCTAGCCAACCAACACCCTCTATACTCACTTTCACGACAACTCTCATCCTGCTTCAACACCACCAACACCAAAACATAAATAACAAGAATCCATTTCAAAAAATGCACAATGATGTAAAAGAAAAAAAGAACAACCTCATGGTTAAGACGCTTGTATATAGGAGCAAGAATGTTGAAAGTGGTGCAGCTAATACAAGGTAGTTGTTGTTGGTTTTCTTGCATTGCGTAAATTTGAGTCTTTGAAATTGTTCTTCCCATATTCTTATTTTACGTACAACAATATATCAAAGCTAGTTTTATATGCATATATTTGTAGAATCTTTTTTGTTGCTTTTCAAACAAAGTAATCTAGTACCAACTAGGATGAAAAAGAATGGCACACTAAACACCGGCCACTGACAAAAAGTGTCACCTTAAATTTCTCTGTCTCAATTTAATTTGTGTGTAATGTACTCAAACTATTTTTTTTTTCCTTTTCTCTACAAGAATGTTGAATCTTATTAAATACAAATACTTTGTAGATAAAATTAATCATGGCTTGAGTGTTGTTTTGGAATTTAAGAAAGCTTTTTGAACTTATCATAGTTTAAGGTATGTCTAAATTTAACGTATGGAAAGAGATTTCTCATTCTCATATATTAATATGCATATTACAGCCTTATTATACAGAGGAGATTATGGTTAGAAGAAATAAAACTAAGCCTAATAATTAGGAGAAATTAGATATACATGAATCAAACAACTAATAGACAGTTAGTACTAATTGATACAAAATTTATTATGAAATAAACCACATATCTTAAAACATCAATTATGTGATTCTTTTTATACTCTCCCTCAAGATGGATCAAGAGGACTCATCACTACAATAAAATAGACAGTTAGTAATATCAATTTTACAATTGTCGTAGTGTTAACCATGGTAATAATTTATTTTTAGATTTTTTTTTTTAATTTTATTTACTAAAGGATATGTCACAATAGTCATATGTAGCAATCGCAATGAAAAGTACACGAAATGAAATGGTTCGAATCCCAACACCAACAATTAACCATTTATCATGATAAAAATGTGATTGACCTTGTATATCACTATGGTTTTTGTTTTCAACCGTGATGAAAGATGATACTTATTTATATAAATGAAACTCTAACAACTTTGTCACCAGTCTCTCTCAAGACGAAACTCTAACAACTCTGTCACTCGTCTCTCTCATATGGAAACTCCAAAACGAAACCATAACATCAAATCTTAGCCAATGGATATTTACATATTCGTCTTCTCAATAGTTTTTTTTTTCAAATATTGTTTCAATAGGTTTGTTTTATGATGTTTAAACTTTCTTCTTGTTTTGACTTGTAGGTAGGGATGCTTGTTTCAATAAAGAGGACGAAGTTAAAGTTAGCATTGCAAACTTGTTTCAAAGGTCAAAAATGACATCCATTCAAAATATATACAAGTTTGTGACTTTAACTTTAGCTTCATCCTTATTTTATTGTGGACATACCATTATGGGACATGTATGGTACGTTTCTGAAGCATTCAATGACTTGATATGTTTGTTGTATCGTGTTTGTTGCTTATGGTTTGTTGTTGATGAATGTTATTATTAATGTTTGTTTAAAAGATGAGTTTATTATATATCATGTGGTTTGAGTGTTTTTTCAATACCTTGTCGAGTATATAACTTTTCAAACTACATTAAAAAATTATGATATGATAGATAAAGTTGTATTAGAAAACAAGTACACGTTAAATTTTTGACAAGAATTCTTCACACCATTAATTGCATGTTGTTATTTGACAATTAGAACTTGATTTAATGATTGCAGATCTTCAACCACCCATGTCTCCACCTCTAATTTTGTTTGCAAAGTAAATAATATTTTGTAAAAAAAAAAAACTAGAGGTGAAGGCAGTGGAGGTTGAAGAACTAGGATCATTAAACCAAGTTCTTACTGTCAAAGAACAAAATGGAGTTGAAGAACTCTTGTCTAGCATTGAACCTGAACTTGTTCTTCAAATATAACTTAATTTGTCATATTATAATGTTCTAGTGCATATTGAAATGTTATATGCTTAGTGAGTATTAGAGAAATATTAATTTTACATAATTTATAATAAACTCAGGTATATATATCACACAGTTGTTTAGCACATCCGTTGTTAAATATGTTACATTAAAGAATATCACAACGGTTGTTTAAAGAGTAACAATTGTGGTAGGTAGGACGCTACATAGATACAATCACGGTCGCACGTCTATGATAGAAAACACCATACATACAATCACACCTTACCTCACAACGATTGGACCAACATGGTGGTATCGCTTTTTCAACTGTTGTGATAGGTGTTTTTCGTAGTAGTGATTGAGTGATCTAAGCTTGAATAACATGCGATGAAACACGAATTTGAACTTGGTGATGAATAAAGTGACAATCAAATTTAATGTGTTTCGTTCGTTCAAGAAACATGAAATTCATTGTGACGTGCATAACATTCTGGTTGTCATAAAAAATGGTCATATGAAGACTGGTTGGAAAACCAGGATCAACAAAGAGACCTTAAGCCATATCAATTTGCAAGCAGCAGATGCCATGACACGATATTCGGCTTCAACACTAGAACGAGCAACAACTTATTATTTTTTGCTACGCCAAGAAATAACATTACCACTAATAAACATACAATAACCAGTAGTTAATTTTTGATCGAGTGCATTTCCAGCCCAATCAGAGTCACTCTAACCATTTATTCGCGTGTGATCGTTCTTGGATAGGACAATCCCACGTCCAATAGACCCTTTAAGATGACGCAAGATGCACTTGACAATGCCCATATGAAAATTTGTATGAGAATGGATAAATTGGCTAACAAAACTTACTACATAAGTTATGTCAGGTCTAGTAATGGTAAGATAAATAAGCTTACCCCCCCAACCGTTGACAGTCACTGAAATTTTGTAAAGGTGTACTTGCAGTGTAAAAATTCAACCTAACATCCAATAGAGTAAAAGTTGACTTACAATTAATCATCTCAACATCTTCAAGTAAGTCAAGAATGTACTTTTGTTGGTTAAGAAATAGACCATTGCTATAAACTGCCATTTCAATTCCAAGAAAGAAGTTTAAGTGGTCGAGATCTTTGGTCAAAAAACGAGACTTCAATGTGTTCTTAAGTTGAGAAATAACATGATTACTATTTCCAACAATAATAAGATCATCAACATAGACAAGAACTATAAATGTTTCATTTGAGACATGTCGAACAAATAATGAAGAATTTGTTGCACTTTTTAAGAAACCTAATTCTTCAAGAGAAGAACTCAATTTTGCATGCCATGCACGTGGAGATTGTTTTTAACCATAGATAGATTTATGAAGTTTACAGACCATCGAAGAATCTGAACTTTGTGGTTGTCCTGGAGTTAATTTTATGTCCACCTCTTCTTTCAAGATCTCCACGTATAAAGGCATTCTTTACATACATCTGACTCATTGACCACCCACAATTTATAGTTATCAAAAGAAAAATACGAATTGTATTCATTTTTAGCAACAAAAGCAAAAGTCCCCTTATAGTCTGCACAAAGTGTTTGAGTAAACCTTTGAGCTATAAGCCGGGTTTTATGCCTATTGAATGTGTCATCAAAGTTAACTTTGTTTTATACACCCAACGACTTCCAACAGGTTTTTTTCCATTAGGAAGTTTAACAATAGTCCAAGTTTGATATTCTGTTAGAGCTTAAAGCTCTTAATGCGTAGCCTTTTGCCAAGTTTCTTGATTATTTGCTTCATAGAAGTTTTTTTTAGCTCATGTACACTAGAAATGGCAAGAGAAACATTGCATAACTTGAGGAGAATCGATGATATGTGACATACTTGGATATTGGATGACATACCGAATATGTAACACAGTCTTGGAGCTTTGGTAGAAGAGAACAATTTCAGACATGATATTGACAGATTGAGAAACATCTTCACATATAGGAGACCTAGACTCAACCTGTAATTGTTGTCATTGTGGGAAAATGCACTAGATCTAAGATTGATAAAGTGTAATCCAAGTAGTTTGGAGTAGAGCTTCATCTATTAGAAGAGTACTTGTCCCATAATACAAATTGCATATTTCGGATTTTTTTATGTGATGTCATATATTATATTTTCTTGTTGAACTATATTTGTATCATTGCTAATTCACTGTGCACTTATGTTATTTGAGACTATTTGTATTTTGACTGTTCAACATCTTTTTTTAATATATTAATTTTCTATTAATTAGTATACGTTTAATTAAGTTTTTTTTTTTTTGAATTTTTTTTTTGAACACACTACTTGATAAAATTTTATTGAATAAAATTAATAAATTAATTATTTAAAAATAGAGAATTAATTAATTTTTTAATAAAAATTAATTAATATTTGTAAGGAAATATTTATTATAAAATAAATATAATAAATAATAAATTGGTAATTAAATAATGAATTGACTATAAAATTTAAAAGAATAAGCCTATTTGCATTCACACCAATGAAGAATGTTCTATTGCATTACAATCTAGTTATTCACAATTCACATTATTCAAAATTCCATCGCTTCCTATTTTAACCTTTCCTTTTGTGAAAAAAGTGATATTTTTTAATCGTTTTTAAAGTTTAAATAATATTAATTACATTTAAAAAAATATATATCGCTAGTGATTTATTATAAAGAAAAATAGTTAAATTAATAGATAATTAAAAATATTATAGATAAATTATTCTTTGAAAAGTAATGATATTTAAGATTTATTTAGATAAACAAATTTTTTGCGGTTCATAACATAAATAATTATAAATAAGTTTGTATAAATTATTTTTACAATAAAAGATAAAATAAATTTAAATTGCTTATATATATATATATATATATATATATATATATATATATATATATATATATATATATATATATATATATATATATATATATATATATATATATTTGTTTTCATGATCAATATTTGATAATTTATAAAATAAATTCAAAAAAAATAATGAAAAATATAATGAGTTGTTTTGATAAGACATCAAATTATGTCAATATATAAACTCGAATAAATTAATTCAATTAGACCCTTATTAGTTTTTTTTGCATTTATTACTGTATTTGTAGGGTCGAAAATGAATTAAGCTGATTTGATTTTGTTTTAGCTCAATTTCATAAAATTGATTAAATTCAAAACTCAACTTAAGATCGTCACAATTTTTTTTTC